CCTGGACTTGGTCCAGGGCTAACGCCAACAAAGCACAGAAAGCCCTGCTGAGAGACTGCTCCTGTTTAGAGTCCAAAGAGATCCCAAGTAGATCGCAGGTCACAGTTTAATGAGTGACAGCCATGTAGACACTGCTGAAAACATTCTACTTCACAAGTACGGATTTCGTCTGACTCAGAATTGATTCCCTAAACCCCACTCCCCCTTTCCTTCTCCCTCCCTCTTTGTCCTCTGTCTTTTTTAAACAGGGTTTTAACATTTTGCCCAAGCTAGCCTCCCAACTCCTGGTCTCAATGATCTTTCTGTCCTAGACTCCCAAATGTTAGAAGCAGCTGGTGTGGTGGCTCATACCTTTGATCCCAGCATATGGAAGGCAGAGGCAGGAGGAGCACTGTGAGTTCAAGTCCAGCCTGGTCTACATGGTGAGTTCCAGGACAGGCAGGGTTATATTAAAAAGACCCTGTCTCAGAACCAAAACAAAACAAAGCAAAAAAAAAAAAAACCCATTAGCACTGCAGCAGGTGGGCACCACTGCAACCACACAGCCCAGCCTCCTTCCTGCACCTGACATCAGGCAGTACATCCTCCCATTGATAGCGCAGGACCACAGGAAGACAGCTGGAAGAGAGGCCTGAAACACAAATTTCAGGAGTGGGTGAAGTTTCACTGAGAAGAAATGATCATACCAAGAACCAGTAAGGTTTAAAGCTAAATGTCAACAGAGCTCCAGCCCCAGAAGATGAAGATGTTAGGGTTATCTGAAAAACTGCCTTGAAACTCCATGACGAAATCCACGTATGAGAGCTAGGGATACAGTGTAAGTGTGAGGGCCTGGGTTCAAACCCCAGTATGGATGGAAGGAAAGAGGGAGGCAAGGCTATCCTGGGCTGTTTGGCGGAGGGGGTGGGGAAGAGGAGGAGGAGGAGGAGGAGGAGGAGGAGGAGGAGGAGGAGGAGGAGGAGGAGGAATAGCACCAGGGAGAATAAGACAAAAGCTCTGAGAAGTCTAGGCTGATAAGGGACCAGCCATTTATAACCGCCTGCTGGAGATCCTAGAACCCCAGCACTCTGGAGGCTGAGGCAGGACTGAGAGTGTAAATTATCTGAGCTACATAGTGAGACTCTATCTAAGAAAGGGAAGAATGGAAGGAAGAAGAGAAGAGAAAGAGAGAGAGAGAGAGAGAGAGAGAGAGAGAGAGAGAGGAAGGAAGGAAGAAAGGAATGGGGACAGAGACCAAGGGTGAGAGGCGGAAAAGAAAGGGAGGGAGGGAGCAAGTGCAAGAGAAACAGGGATGGAGAGATGTCTCCGTGGTTAGAAGCATTGGCTTCTCCAGAGGGCTGGGGTTTGGTTCCCAGTGCCCACGTGGTGGCTCACAAACATCTCTAACTCCAGTTCCAGGGAATTTAGGGCCTTCTGACCTCAGAGGGCTCCTGCACATGTGATTTATATAGGTTCACACACATGTGCATAAATTAATAAGAAAATTTAAAAGCTAGTTATGCACATGCCTACCCATGAGCCAGAGAAGCAAGCCAACAGTAGGGCTCCTAGCTGAGCGGTGGTGGCGCACGCCTTTAATCCCAGCACTCGGGAGGCAGAGGCAGGCGGATCTCTGTGAGTTCGAGGCCAGCCTGGTCTACAAGAGCTAGTTCCAGGACAGGAACTAAAAGCTACAGAGAAACCCTGTCTCGAAAAATTAAAAAAAAAAAAACCAACAGTAGGGCTCCTTCATGATTTCTGTTTCCACCTCCTGTTTCAGCTCCTGGCGACTCCTCTCATTGGTGGGCTGTGACCTGGAAGTATAAGCCAAATAAATCTTTTCCTCCCTCAGGCTGCTTTTGCTTTTGGTCTGAGTGATCTATCTATCTATCTATCTATCTATCTATCTATCTATCTATCTATCTCATCTATCTATCATCTATCTATCTATCATGTGTAACAGCCTTGGATGTCCTGGAACTCACTTTGTAGACCAAGCTGACTTCGAACTCACATAGATCTGCCTGCTTCTGCTTCTGCATCCCGAGGCTGGGATTAAAGGTGTGTGCCACAACTGCCCAGCCAGAGTGTTTTATTACAGCTACAGAAATAAAACTATGGCAACCCCAAATGGGCTAAGCCCAAAGAACTCCATTCCAAGACATCATGTAGCCCAGGTTGGTTTAAAAGTCTCACACTCTTCCTGCCTCAGTTTCCACGGTGGTGGGACTACAGACTAGGATAACTATGCCTGGCTCATGATTGCAGTTTTTTCCAAACTAAATTTTTTTTTTCAAAAGCCTTTTTTATTTTATGTGTCTGAGTGTTGTGTCTGTATATTCGCCGTGGACATGTTTGGTGCATGAGGAAGTCAGAGGAGTGTCTGATTCCTCTGGAACTGGAGCTGTGGACAGTTGTGGGTCATCACGCGGGTGTCGGTAAGCAAACCCAGGTCCTCGGCAACAGCAGCGCGTGCTCTTCCCGACCGAGTCATCTCAGCCGCACTCCTCACCTGTTTTTGAGACTTCAAGTATACCAGGCTGGCCTCAGGCAAGGATAACCTTGAACTCCTGATCTTCCTCCTGCCTCCAGCTCCCCAGTGCTGGAATTACAGGTTAGTAAGCACCACCACTCCCATTCTGTTCAGGGCTGGGCTCCAACCTAGGGCTACTTGCTTGTTAGGAAAGCACTCTATCAAATAAACGACTTTCTTAGCCCGAGCACAATGTTTCTCTTTTTTCTCCTTTTTAAAGATATTATTTATTTATTATGTATACAGTGTTCTGTCTATATGTTAGACGACGAGGGCGCCAGATCTCATTACAGATGACTGTGAGCCACCATGTGGTTGCTGGGAATTGAACTCAGGACCTTTGGAAGAGCAGCCAGTGCTCTTCTCTGAGCCATCTCTCCAGCCCCACACAATGTTTTTCAAGTGCTGAAAAAAAACAAAACAGAATTGCAGAATTGCTAACACAGAATCCTGTTTCCAGCAAAAGTATTCCCAAAGAATGAAATCAAGACACAAAAAATGAATCCTAAAAATGTTTATTCTTATTGTTTGTTTTCTTTTTTATTATTTATTTTATGTGCACTGGTGTGAAGGTGTCAGATCCCCTGGAACTGGAGTTACAGACAGTTGCAAGCTGCCATTGGGGTGCTGAGGGTCCTCTGAAAGAGCAGCCAGTTCTCTCAACCACTGAGTCATCTCTCCAGCCCTTGTTAATTCTCTTGACACAGGGTCTCACTACGTAGCCCTAGCTGGAACTCACTGTGTAGACTAGAATGGCCTCAAACTCACAGCGATCTTCCTGCCATTGTGAGCACTAGGCATGTATAGGATACACATACACACGTTCAGGCAAAACATCTATATGCTTAACATGAAATAATTTTAAATTTTTAAAAAATAAAATAGCAAAAAACCTATTCAAGGCTAATAAAATAAACAAAATAGCAAGTTCAAGGTTAGCCTGGGCTAGTGAGACCCTACGTCAAATAAAAATAAAAATCATAAGGGAACTAGCCAGGATTCTCAGTGGTTAGAGTGTGTGCTACTCTTGAGAGGACCTCAGTTTAATTTCCAGCATGACTCAAAAAAGAAACAGTATCAGTTTCTGTTATAGATTTGATACATTTATATTAAAATATTATTGAGTCAGCAGTAGTGGCAAATACCTTTAGTCCCAGCATTTGGAAGGCAGAAGTAGGTAGATCTTTATGAGTTCAAGGCCAGCCTGGTCTATATAGCAAGTTCCAGGACAGCCAAGGCAAGGCTACATAGTGAAATCCTGTCTAAAAGAGGAAAAAAAATAAAACTTAAAAGATTTTCATTTGAAAGCTTTTTTTTTTTTTTTAATAGCCAGGCAGTGGTGATGCATGCCTTAAATCCAACCCCATAATTCTGGAGGCAGGGGAAGGCAGATCTCTGTGAATTCAAGGACAGCCTGGTCTACAAAGCCAATTCCAGGGCCGGTGGTGGTGGTGGTGGTGGTGGTGGTGGTAGCACACACCTTTAATTGCAGCATTCTGGAGGCAGAGGCAGGTGGATCTCTGTGAGTTCGAGGCCAGCCTGGTCTACTAGAGCTAGTTCCAGGACAGGTTTCAAAGCTACAGAGAAAACTTGTCTTGAAAACCCACAAAAACAAACAAACAATATAAATGTAGGGGCTAGAAAGATGGCTCACCAGCGAAGAGCACTGGCTGCTCTTCCAAAGGACCTGGGTTCAAATTTCAGCACCCACACAGCAGCTCACAACTGTCTGTAAGTCCAGATCCACAAGATCTGACATCTTCACACAGACATACATGCAAGCAAAACATTAGTGCACATAAAATAAAAATAATCTTTTAGAAAAACAAATTATTTAAAAAGTATAAACACAATAGTAATTTGATTTTTTTTTTTTTTTTTGGTTTTTCGAGACAGGGTTTCTCTGTGGTTTTGGAGCCTGTCCTGGAACTAGCTCTTGTAGACCAGGCTGGTCTCGAACTCACAGAGATCCGCCTGCCTCTGCCTCCCGAGTGCTGGGATTAAAGGCTTGTGCCACCACCGCCCGGCTACAATAGTAATTTGAACATATAACTGAAACAGATCATTCTATTAGCAAATATAAAGCAGGGCTGACCAGATGGCTCCTCAGGTAAAAGGAGCTTGACAGCCTGATGACCCAAGGATGGGCCCTGGGACCCACATGGTGGAAGGAAAGAGTCTCTGGGGTCCTGGTACAGGAGCTGACACCTGAAGGAAATTAAACACAAGACCACTTAGTAGGCACAAAAAAAAACAGAACCTCTTCTCTGTTTGGAAGTTTCTTCAACTTTCAGATCTTTGGAGAAACAGAACATACTTCCTATTTCAGAAGTTGAAAATAACCAAAAATTTGACTTTGTGGGCTTTCCTGGCAGTTGGGTCACCAGGCATGTGACCAACCAGACTCACACCCAGGCTTCCATTAGTATCTAATCACAGAGAAGGAAGGACAGTGTGGAAGTCTGCAGCACTGGAGGTCATGGAACAATGTCTGGCTCAGCGGCAGGGGCGATGCAAGCTTCAGTGAGTTGGTCTTGCAGCACAGGAGAGTTCTGCTCACCAGACTGGTTCTGCAGCATGGTTCTGGGAACTGTTCCTGGTCACATCACTCCACGTCTGGCTTTTCTGCCCAGAAAGTCTTTGAAGTAGCCAGTGTTGTTCTGTTTTTGTTTGGGGGTTGAGACAGAATCTTGTTATGTAGTTCAGACTGGCCTCAAACTCATTTTGTAGCCTAAACCGACCTCTTTTTAGCAATCCTCCTGCCTCAGCCTCCTGATAATTGCTGGGATTACAGGTACACATCACCCCTTGCACCACAAGACATGGTATTACTGTTTTGCCCAGGCTGGTATGGAGCTCCCATCTCAGCCTAGGAACTAAAGCTACAGGCACAGGCCACATTGCCTGGCTCTAGCCAATGTTTTTTTTTGTTTTGTTTTTGTTTTTTTTGATCAAGTGCTGGGGTTAAAGATGTGCACCATTACACTGGCCTAGGTGATGTATCTTTTCCCTGTGGCTTCTATCTGAAAAGTGATAGCAATGCAGTAGAAAAACCAACATCTTCAAGAGTTCCTCAGCATAGCTGCCATCTATGCTTCCTTCTGCCTCGCCTCCGGATACTGCCTTAGTTGTTCCATCCAGCAAATGATACGAATGGCAAGTCTATGACTTAGCTGCATTCAGCTGTGTCTGCCCCTTGCCCAGCCACCAGTAAGCAGCGAGGGGCAAGCTATGCTCATGATACCCCATCTGGGTAGGTAGGATCGTTACATCATTAGATGGGGCAGTGGCCCAACAGACAACTAACCCAGGCTTAAAAATCAGAAGTTTCTAGAGGAATGGATTTTGCACTGGAATTTATCAGATATTTAAGAGTTAGGAAAGAGGTATTGAGTGAAAGTTCAAGCACAGGAAAGAATAACCAGAAGAGGGGAGAGCGCTAAACAAGGGGGCTGAGCAGGTAGGTAGGCAAGATTCCGATCTTGTAAGACTGAAGAGCAAGGCAGGTACTTCAGACTGCCTGCTGAGAGTGTCAGGAGCCATCGGTGGGTTCCCGTAGTTGACACTTGCCGTTCTCCCATGGGAAACAGAGGGGAAGTTAGATTTTTCAGAGATCAACCAGAAGGCTACTGGGAAAGGGAAGATGGTGCCTTGGGCTGGGGAGGGGGGTGGAGAGATATGAAAGAAACCAGAGTTATTGCAGCAAGTCTCCATAATGGGTAGAGTCTGAAGAAGGCAGTGGTATTGGGAGTGTTTGGAATGATCAGGTAAATGAGTGGTTGTGGACAACAGAGGAATACTACTTTTCTGTGCATTTCTTTGGAAATAAAGTCTCAGTATAAAGCCCAGGCTGGCCCTGAATTCATGACCTTCCTGCCTCTGCTTCCTAAGGACAAGCAGTAGACAGCCCTGCACCTCCATGGCTAGCAGGTGAAGCTATTTTGATAATGAAGTCAATTTTTGATATATTGAAGTTTTGGTTTTAGTTGTTTTTTTTTTATATAATATTTATTTATTTATTATGTATACAATATTCTGTCTGTGTGTATGTCTGCAGGCCAGAAGAGGGCACCAGACCTCATTCCAGATGGTTGTGAGCCACCATGTGGTTGCCGGGAATTGAACTCAGGACCTTTGGAAGAGCAGGCAATGCTCTTAACCACTGAGCCATCTCTCCAGCCCCGGTTTTAGTTGTTTTTGTTTGTTTGTTTGTTTTTATGAGAACGGTCTTTGTAGCCCAAGCCGGCTTCAAACTCATGATCTTCCTACTTGAGCCTCTCAAATGAGGTACACTGTTTCTGTACTTGTGGAACATGTAAAAGAGAAGTCTAAGAGACAATCAGGCATAAGTATCTAGACCTCAGGAAAAGGGTATAGAGCAGAGATCAAAACGAGTCTGGGCCAGAGGTGGTGGTTAAAGGTGCAGCAAAATATGTCCAAGGCACTTGTGGAGTATATGTTAAGACAGTCAAAGAATACTCCAGAAAGGTCGAGGAAGAGGAAGCGACAGAGGAGTCTGAGAAGGACCAACACACAAGCAAGAGGAAAACCAAGAAAATGAATGTCACTGTCACGTCCCCAGGAGAAAGTAACACTGGGTATAGATGCTGCAGAAACAGTTTAGAGTAGCAGTAACAGTAATGTATCCAGTGGATACAGAATAGGGGTGACAGTGGATACAGAATAGCAGTCTCAGGCTGCAGAGGCAATCAGTTGAGGGCTAGGAGAGGTGGCAGTAGGTGTAAGGAAGTAGTGAAGGCAAACCGGGCACCTCTAAGAACAGCTATGGAGGAGACAGGGTAGCACGTGGAGAGGCTTTTGGAAGCTGCACAAAGTTGGTGGCCAGAGAGTCTCTAGATCTCTCCAGGGTGGAAGGAAAGGAAGGGAGAGTGTAAAACCAAAGGAGGGTCCTGGGGAAAGCTGTGGAGGGAGGTGATAAGGGCCTGTGCCCGGGAGGGAGACGGTCCCCTGAGTGGCAGGAGGTGGTTATCAGGTTGTCATTTCCTCCCCATTTCTATTTCTATCTCCTTCCTGCTCTTGGCCTGGCTCTCCTTGGAGCTGGAAGAGAGAAGGACCAAGTCACACCCTGGAAGAAGCTCTGTGCCTTCAGAGGTCTTTCTGCCTGACTGTAAGCTGGGGCTGGGATTAGAAGAGGAAGATCTGAGGAGGGAATAAGAACTAAGGGCTGAGGACAGGGTAGAAGAGAAGGGAAAAGTCTGGGAGGGAGCGAAGCTGTTTCTGGAAGTGTTCTTAAGAGCTACAGCAGTGAAGGGTTGGAGCCTAGAAAAATTATGCCAAGGACCAGGGTGGTAATCCTTTAAACTCTTTTTGCCCACAGGTCCCTATGGCTCTCTTCATCTTGCTGTTCTTGCTGCCAAGTCCCTTACATTCCCAATCCCCTTGTGATATTTCCCAAGTGACCAGCCTGCTGGAAGTAAACTGTGAGAACCAGAAGCTGACAGCATTGCCTGCAGACCTGCCAGCAGACACAGGCATCCTCTTCCTGGCCAAGAACAAACTGGTTACCTTCTCCACAGCCTCCGTGGCACAGTTCACTCACCTAACTCGGCTATACCTGGATGAATGTGAGCTGACCAGCCTGCAGACCAGTGAGAAATTGTCCAAACTGGAGAATCTGCATTTATCCCACAACAGCCTGCAAAGTCTGCCCTCCCTAGGATGGGCACTGCCTGCACTCACTATCCTTGACCTCTCCTTCAACCAGCTGGGCTCACTGTCTCCCGGTGTCCTGGAAGGCCTAAGCCAACTACAGGAGCTCTACCTGCAGAACAATAATCTGAAGAGTCTGCCCCCCGGGCTCTTGGTGTCTACAACCAATCTGAAGAAACTCAATCTGGCCAACAACCACCTACGGGAGCTGCCCCATGGGCTCCTAGATGGGCTGGAAGATCTTGACACCCTCTACCTTCAAGGGAACTGGCTTCGTACAATGCCAAGGGGCTTCTTTGGGACCCTCTTCTTGCCTTATGTTTTTCTTCATGCCAACACCTGGTATTGTGATTGTGAGATTCTCTACCTCCGAAACTGGCTCAAGCAAAATTCCAACAATGTCTACTTATGGAAGGAGGGTGTGGATGTCAAGGCTATGACCCCTAATGTGGCCAGTGTACGATGTGCCAATTTGCGCAACGCACCTGTCTTCTCCTACCCAGGGAAGAACTGCCCTACCAGTAGTGATAGGGATTCCATAGACTATGATGACTATGACTCTGAAGTCTCTGAAGTACCTGCTACAAGGGCTGAGGTCAAGTTTTCTACTAACACTAAAGCCCATACTACCCACTGGGGCCAACTCTTAGAGTCTCCTACTTCTCCAGACAGCCAAAGGCCTTCTTGGCCTCCAACCCACAAACCTACTAAAAAACAGTCCACATCCACCCACATACAGATTCCAGGTTTCACCACACTCCCACAGACCATGCAGTCCAGCACACCTCTTTATAATCTAAAACTCAATACTACACCTACCACCATCCCAACCACCCCAGTACCTACCACTTCCACCCCAAATACCCCAAAGGCCAGCCCTACCCCAGTGCCTACCACTTCCACCCTGGCTACTCCAGAGCCCCACTCCATACCAATGCTTACCAGTTCTACTCCCACTATTCCAGAGCCCACCACTTCCACCCCGGCTACTCCAGAGTCCAGCACCAACCCAGTGTCAACTACTACCACCCTGACTACCCTGGAGCCCAGCATCACACCAATGCTTACCACCTCCACCCTGACTATTCCAGATTCCACTGCTTCCACCCTGACTACCCCAGAGCCCAGTGCTCCAGTGCCTTCCACCCCCACTCCAACTACCCCAGAGCCCAGCAGCACTACCCCAACCACTCCAGTGTTTACTGGAGTGACACTCTTCATTACTGCCCTGGCTGCCATAGAACTCACTTTACTCCCTACCCCCGAACCTATTACTGGAATCCCAGAAATGAACAGCTTCATAACTTTCCAAGACATGGTTCAAGCAAACTCTAATACTTCCAAAAGTGACCCTTTTCTCAATTCTGACTTTTGCTGCCTCCTCCCCCTGGTTTTTTATATTCTGGGTCTTCTCTGGCTCCTATTTGCCTCTGTGATACTCCTTTTGTTGCTGACCTGGATCTGGCATGTAAAACCACACACTCCGGACTTGGACCAATCTGCTGCGCTGGCCACAAGCACATACACCACAAGTCTGGAGGTGCAGAGAGGAAGGCAGGTAACTGTGCCCCGGGCCTGGCTGCTCTTCCTTCAAGGCTCACTCCCTACTTTCCGTTCTAGCCTTTTCCTATGGGTAAGGCGTAATGGGCGTGTTGGGCCTCTGGTAGCAGGACGGCGGCCCTCAGCTCTGAGCCAGGGTCGTGGTCAGGACCTATTGGGAACAGTGGGTATTAGGTACTCAGGTCACAGTCTATGAAGGTGAGTACCTTGGAGATCCTAAGAAGACTACTGGGATCTAGCTGGGGCGGGAATGAGACTGCCATGCAGACATTTTATTTACTTCTTTATCTGAAGCTCCTTTTACATCTAGACCACACAAATCAGATGTGGTGAGGTGATACAACTGGGTAATCTATGTTGCCAGGTCACATGGTCACTGCTATGGCTTTGGGGAAGAGGTAGAAAAAGTGAATAGAAATGGAGCATGGCTCCCATGTGTTCACATGTGGGAGGAAACTTGGAGCAACATTATCCCTAAGTATCGTGAATATGTTTTCCCTGTTTAACACTTATCTTCCACCAGTGTTATCTGAATAATAAAACTGCTTTTAAGAAAATGTAGCTTTCTATGAGAGATGAGAATGGCTGAAGCACCTGTTACAAGAATTCCCAAGGTCCTAACTGCCCCCACCCTGATCCCAAATACCCAACAAATCTCCAGTTGTACCTGGGGGAGGGGGGCGGAGGACACTTCTTCGACCTTAGTGACTCTTCTGCAGAGTTTGGGTACCCACCAGGCTACCTTAGACAACTCCAGAACCATGTCCCAGAGCTGAGAGGAAGTGCTAAAGCCTGCCTGCAGCTGGGTAGCAGAGGTGGGTACATTCCTCACACTCATGGCTTCCAAATACAACCCTCCTCACCGGCCAGGTCAGGACTGGGAAAAGGTGTGTCACCCTGATGGGTTTGACTGAAGAACCTTAGGTTTGCTGCTTTCAAAGCTGGATGTAGCAGGCCCCTTCTTTCCCCCAAATCCACTGATTTGGCCATTTGCTAATCTCACCAGTGAGGTCTTCCATGCCTCATCTCAGTTCAATACAGGGCTTGGGACCCAGATAAAGGATGGCTGGCTCTACTGACTGCCCCTCTCCAGATGGTTCTAGATCTTCCTGTGAATCTGGCTGAATCTCCTTCCCACCTTGAACTCTTCCAGGTAGAGCACAAACCTTAGAGGTTACCCAGTAAGGACTTTTCTTCATCAACTCTACCTACCAGTTCTGCTTCATCTCCATGGCACTGTGGGCTTGAACCACTGCACAAGGCTCATGGGTCCTCTGTGCCAGCAGGGTTCCTCCTCTGAGCCTCTGTGCTCACTCCAGCTAAGAGCTCTGCCTCTGCCCTCCTTCTCAACCTATCTGACTGCTACCACGAACAAGTCTCTCCTAAGTTGGGCAGGGTGCAGTCCACAGATATAGCCATTTTCAAATGTTCCTGTCATCTTCTTTTTTTTTTTTGCTGTTTGCTTTTTTTGAGACAGGGTTTCTCTGTGTATAGCTTTGGCTGTTCTGGAACTCACTCTGTAGACCAGTCTGGCCTTGAACTCAGAGATCGGTCTGCCTCTACCTCCCAAATTGCCGGGCTTAAAGACATGCACCACCACTGCCCAGCCTCCCATTATCTCCTTACTGGACTCTAAACTCCTTAAGAAAAGGTGCAGGCTTCAAATGTCTCCGAGCAGGCACTGCGGGTGGCCTAGGACAGTTTCAGGGAAGGATTAAGGAAAGGAGCAGCAGAGGCACCAGGAAGCTGCACTAATATCTTTTGTGTTGAGGCTCTGCCAAGAGGACAGTTCGCACCTGCTGCCTGCCTGTTTCTCTGGCCTGGCATGCAGCCCTCAGGCTGCCTGGCACTCCTGGTTTGACCTTCCCATATCTCTTCATGGTCCAAGAAGTTTGTAGGATCCTTGAGGGTTTGGGAATCACACTTAAGAAATAGATGGAAAAAAAAAATCACTTTTTCCCAGCCAACCCAGTTTCTAGCCAATATTCTTTCTTTCCTCAATCTTTGTGTTTGACTGCACTCTCAACCCCTGTGGCTCCATCCCACAGAAGTCCAACTTAGATTCTTTTTTTTTTTTTTTTTTTTTGATTTTTCAAGACAGGTTTGTTCTCACAGCCCTGGCTGTCCTGGAACTCACTTTGTAGACCAGGCTGGTCTTGATCGCAGAAATCTGCTGGCCTCTGCCCCCTGGGTGCTGAGGTTAAAGGCGTGTGTCACCACATCCCACTTGCTTCAATTTACGCTCATTACCCCTCCCTCTTTATGCTGCAAAGGCAGTGAGGAGCTCCCAGAGGCCTTTCCTAAGAACTCTGATCCGATTACGAGGCGCTGCATTTTTGGGCAAATGGCTTGCTAGCAGCATACAAGGCCCAGTTTTCTTTCTGTCTGCTGCTGAGGTATCACTGATTTACATAGTATTTTCATAAAACCAATGGGTGATTTTCTTTAATATTTTTTGTTAAAAACTCCAGTTTGTTTTCCAGAGACATCAGCTTCTTTGTGCAGTTAGCTCCCCCTAGGATCCTCAAGACTATCCAGATTTGGGGTTGGTGTTATCAATCCAATTTATTAATTTCGTCCTCAGAGAGGAGGAAGCCACATCCACCTTAGACCCTTTTGGCCATCTGGATAACTTCTACTCTCTCCTGTCTCCTCAGCTCTGTCTTGGATTCCCCAGAGAGAGAGGTCTGCTGTCTTGTGTGCCCTGAAACTAATACCCAAGAGATAACTAGAAATCCTTAGGGAAGTTTCTCAAGTCCTCCTAGGACTAGCCAGGGACAGAATGATCCTAAGCATCAGGCCAGGCACGGCAAGCTGGAACAGGGGTAGAACAGATTAAAGTTCTTTACCGCAAAGGAGTAAACCACACTGTAGAGGGAAAATAAATAGAGGAGCCCAGGGTAGCAGAATCCAGGCCCCTGGGGCACATCGACTGTAGGAGCAGCAGGTGGCCTGGGGGCCCTGGCACTCTAGTCCCAGCAGCTTGCCACATCAGCCACTGAGGAAGAGACGCTTGTAGGCCTTGTTCATCTGTTCCAAGAAGATGAAGGTGAGGACAGTGTGGGGGCCCAGTCGGGCATAGTATGGTGTGAAGCCCTTCCACAGGCTGAAGAAACCCTCGTAGCGGACGACTTTCATCAGAACATCCTAGACAGACAGGCAGGCAAGCGCTGGGGCGAGGACATGGCCTCTATACCCAGCTCCCTTCATAGCCCTCCCAGGGCACCCGCACACTCTGACCGAGCCCCCCGCCCCGTCTCCTCACCAGCCCATTCTTGTACTCCGGCTTCCCATCGATCATTCGCATATTTTGGATCCTGAAAGAGAGGAAGTACGTGCATGAAAGACAGAAAGAAGGCCCTCCAAAAGTTCTCCAATCCCAGGCTACGGGCTCACCTAGTTTTGACGATGTCCACAGGCATGGAGGCAGCAGTGGTGACGAGGCCACTGATCATGCTGGCACAGAAGTGGCACAGAATATTGTCAGAGAAGTAGCCTGAGGGGGGAGCAGAAGGTGGCAGTCAACTCTCAGGTAGCTCGGGCTGGAATGGGCATGGAGTATTCAGCTCTGGGTCTCTCTCACCTGAGTCCAGCAAGAACTGCTTGGATTGGGAGTAGGAGGCAAGCTGGGCAGCGTTGACAACGACAGCTCGAGCCATGGTAGGGATGCAACCCTGAGGCGAGAGGATGGAGGCAATGGAGAGAGGGTCAAAAATGCCAGAGACTTGACCCTACACCCCCTGGGACTCCCACCCCTTTGCTCACCCGCCACAGCGTGGGGACTCCCTCTTCCCTGGCAATTCGAATTAGGGCATTAAACACGTTTTTGTAGCCACGGCGCTGATCAGCTGGAAGCCTGGGGAAAGGGCAGGGAAAAGTCACGGTCAGGACCGTTCAGGGTCCATAAGGAACAAAGAAAGGGAGGCCCGAGCAGGTCCGTGTCCAGATGTAGAACTTGGCTAACAAAAATATGTAAAACCTAATCCTTTCGTTCTACATTCCAGGAATGGGGCTGGGGTTAGACCTGGAACTCACCGGCCATCGGCAGTCATCCTGATAAGCGCCACCTCTGCTGGCGTTCCCACAAATGCCCCAGTTGCACCTGCCGTCATGCCAATCAGGGCCTTCAGCAGAAAGCCAGGGGGTGTACCGTCAGCCCCGGTCAGGCGTTCAAACAACACAGTATAGATGCCAAGACGAGTAGTGGTGTAGGTGGCCTGGCGGAGCAGGCCAGCTGACAGCCTGAGGAGAAATGTCAGCACCGCGTATCAGGCCAAGGCCTGGACCTACCAACCCACAGCCTCCCTTCCCAAACTGAGGCCACAGTACCCAGTATAAATGCCCTTCAGTCCTTCAGCCTTCAGGATGCTGGTGAGGGCGTGGAAGCTGGTTTTGTACTCTCGAGTCTTGGCCCCTTCACCACTCAACTGCATCCGGTTCTTCACCAAGTCCAGAGGCTGCACGAAAACTGTAGCACCCATCCTGAAGTGAAGCAGTAAGGCAAGGAGTCAAGTCGGCTGGTCCAGGTCGACCAGTGTCTACTGCAACCCGGCAGCAAAAAGTTACAAGGGTCAGGGTCTGACGGTCAGCTAAAGATTCAGGAGGCTGGTGTGTATGTATGTAAAGGTGTGCACAGAAGGCAACGTGCCAGAAAAAAAGTCCAGTTGTCCAGTAAGAACCATGCAAATCAAAATGCTTCAGGCAGTTCCTTAGAGTTCAAGCAGAACTGTACTGCAGGCAGCCTAAGGAGGGGTGGAGAGGGCATCCACAACCTAGGACCCACCCCAAGCTAGACCCACAACATAAACATGCACAGTGGAGCAATGGTGGTTGGAAACATGGGGCAATGACCCTGCAATGGGTGACTAGGTCCTGGCAGGCCATCAGGCACCTCGCAAATCTCAGGACATCATGGTGACCCCGCACCAGCTCAATTTACTGCAACATACCCCGAGATGCCCTGGACCCAGTTGCTTGCGCCCGTCCCTTCCTCCTTTTCCCTATCCCTGGGGCCTGAGCTTACCCAGCCAGGCCCCCAAACAGGAACTTGACGGACTTAGGGGAGGTACGGGGCTTCCCGTCCATCCGGCCAGCCCCGGGACTCGCCGTTGCCGCCATCGCCCCTTGATGGCCCTCGACTTTGGGTACCGAGCACGCACAGCCCCGCTCGCGCCCAAGGTGACACCAGCGCGCAACAGGGCGATGGCGCGCGCGCGCGCACGCCCCTCCGACAGACAAGTCCGGCTCCAGCTAGAAGCTGGGGGGGGGGGGGGGGAGGACGAGCGCAGGCGCATAGCGCAAAGACGGCCGGGAATGAGGCGGGGCTAGGATGCGTGAGTGAAGGGGCGTTGCTAATTTAGGAAGCCACTCTGTGTCTCCCACCCTTCCCGAACTGGAATCGCGG